AGCATTCATTCCATTCAGGAATTCCTTTGATTTTCAAGTTGATCAGTTTGACATATTTTACTCTTAGTTATGTATATAAACTTTGCTGCCCAGATAGTCATATCAGCATCAAATGAAGAATCTTCAATGGAATGTTCTCCGAATTTATAAAAATGGATATTTAGCTATGCATTATATTGGAAATCCATCAATTGATTCATGAAATGGAGCTGAAAATTTGAAAAAGATTGTATGAGCAAAGTACAATCTAAAAAGACTTAAAAGGTCTTTTGATATCTCAAAGAACTATGTAACAATATTTGTTTGTTTTAGGTGAAGACACACATGGTGATGATGGTGAACCACCTATAAAACAAATTAAAACAGAAGTTATAGAGGCTATTGATGAATTCCCTATTTTACAAGACGATGCTGAAAATATTTTACATACGAACACAGATATAACACAGGTATCCTTTAACTGGGCTCAAATTCCTCGTCCATAAGCATCTGGTAAAGCATGTACTTTTAGCTTGATGATGATTATCCACATCTAACCGTTGCTTGTACAGTCCCATATTCTTGTCATTAGAGATTAAAAACTTCCATTGTCAGACTATACATCCTTAATAAAGACTCATTTTAATGCCATTGACAAAATACAGAAAAAAATTTAAAAACCAAAGACATGATTGGCAAATATGACCAAAACGCTATTATATCTCCCCTGTAGAATCCAGCTCTTCACAAACCATAATTATTTATTTATAGGCCGAAGAATCTGAAGATGTTCATGATGATCTAAAAAAGCAACTAGAAGCTGTTCAAAAACAAGCCAAGGCATTTGAAGAAAAACTGCGAAAGAAAGAAGAAGAAGCAGAAATTTATAAAAAACAATTAAGTGTGCATATAAAAAGTGAATAATAATGTGCTTGGAAATCATCAAACATATTAGTGCTCTATAAGATGGAGAACACCATCCTTTGACACCTTACATAATGTCATACTGATAACTTCTTGCTCGGGTAAATTTCAGAATCATTGGCTTAAAATCATTGTGGAATGCTTCAACTAGCTTAACCAATTTTGCTTTGAAGGACCATTCAGGACATGACATGATTTAGGGGAATACATGTGCAAGATATTTCAGGATGGGACAATACATTCCTTTGTTTTTTTATCTCTGTAAGAAGGAATAGACATATATTTTTTTTAAAAAGAAAATAAATTGAGTCAAATTGTGTACTGTAAAATAACAGTTTTAAGATACCGTAGAAAACAATTTCAAGTCAATGAGTATAATAAAAAACTAATGCTGTTGATTTGGATGTATCAAGTTGCTATGTTCGACTGAAACTCTCAAGATGTCTTATGTGACTGAAATTTCTTCAAAATAATTTCAAAGCTTAGGACACAGCACATAATGGACAACAAACTCAGCAAGGCTGATATGGTTATTTGTAACCTTTAGACTAATTCTTTTATTATTCACTTGGCAATTTGCTAAATATCAAATTTTAGTGGAACTTTTCACAATGAAAATCTGATGTCTAGTTTGTCTACGATCAACTAGATATCAATAACTTTTATGAAAGGGTAGAGTATAAGGAAAGGTTAATTATCAATTTTACAAATTTTTGTTGTTTTCCTCAAAATAGATTTTGAATTTAACCTGTATCTTAGTGTTTTAATTAAAGAGCTGGAATTCAACTCTTATCAGCCAGCAAACTGCATATTAGACAATACAGTTTCTGTTAGTAATTAATTCAGGGTGCTATTGAGAGTGTATTAAATTTGTCAGAATTAATTACGTTTAAGACAAAAAGCAGTTAACCATGTTATACAATATTAAATTCATATTGAAATAATTGAATATTTTATTATTTCTTTTATATTGTAAATATATATTTTATCTCTCAGTGTCTTTTCTTTCATTCTTGGTTTTGGGAAAACATCATGTCTTCAGTTTTTGTATGTTTTTCTGTCTCACAGGCAGTAATGTTGGTAGTAGCCATTGTTTGAGAGTAAAGTTAAATTTGTCTTGTATGCATGATAAAGGCTAAAAAAATTATCCGATCTTGATGAAACTTAGTATGCTTGTAGATATTGATAAGACCTTCAAAATTGGTAATAATCGGATGAACATTTTCAGAGTTATTGCCTGTGACTTACGAAAAATACGATAAATTTGCTTTGTAAGTACGATAAAGGCTAAAATTTCGATCCCATCTTGATGAAACATAGTATGCATATATATATTGATGAGATTTCGGTCAAGTTCGAAATTGGTAATAATCGGACGAACGATTTAGTAAAGCTTGAAATTAGTAACAATCGGATGATTAGTTTCACATATTTTACCACCACAGACATCGTTGTCATTTCTGAAAGCTGGTAGTGGGTGTTGCCTGGCAAGCTATCTTGATATTATTGTACGGCTAAAATCCGTTGGCCTCTAGCGGCTCCCATGCGTCTAGGGGTAACCCTCACACAATAATTTACTATATATCATGTAACAAATATAAGTAATATTACACAATAATTTACGATATATCATGAAACAAGTATAAGTATTATTTCACAATAGTTCACTATATCTCATATAGAAAGTATAAGTAATATCACATAATAATTTACTATATATCGTGTAACAAGTATGAGTAATATCTCACAATAATATATTAATATCATGTAACGAGTTTAAGTAATATCTCACAATTATTTACTATATATCATGTAACAAGTATAAGTAATATCTCACAATAATATATTAATATCAAGTAACGCGCAATATTTTACTATATCTCATGTAACAATAACAACTATAAGTAATATCTCACAATAATTTACTATATCTCATGTAACAAGTATAAGTAATATCTCACAATAATTTACTATATATCATGTAACAAGTATATAAGTAATATCTCACAATAATTTACTATATATGATGCAACAAGTACAAGTAATATCTCACAATAATCTACTATATATCATGTAATAATTTACTATATATGATGTTCCAAGTATAAGTTATATCTCACAATAATCTACTATATATCATGTACTAGGTATAAGTAATATCACATAATAATTTACTATATATGATGTTCCAAGTATAAGTAATATCTCACAATAATTTACTATATATCATGTATCAAGTATAATTAATACATCACAATAATTTACTATATTATACATTATGAAAAAATGCCGTGCTCTTCGCAGAAATATTTAGCTATGAAATTTGGTTTACGTCGAACAAGAATAAGCAGCATTTTAATACGTAAAGACGAACTTTAAAAAATAGTCTGCCGACAATATCAATTCCAATATAAATACTAACATGTGGCACATGTTAAAAAAATGTTTCACAATAATCTACTATATATCATGTAACAAGTATAAGTAATATCTCACAATAATTTAAAATATCATTTAACAAGTATAAGTAATATCTCACAATAATTTACTATATATCATGTAACAAGTATAAGTAATATTTCATAATAATTTACTATATATCATGTAACAAGTATAAGTAATATCACACAATAATTTACTATATGTCATGTTCCAAATATAAGAAATATTTCACAATAATTTACTATATATCATGTAACAAGTATAAGTAATATTTCACGATAATTTACGATATATCATGTAACAAGTATAAGTAATATCTCACAATAATTTACTATATATCATGTAACAAGTATAAGTAATATCTCACAATAATTTACTATATATCATGTATCAAGTATAATTAATACATCACAATAATTTACTATATTATACATTATGAAAAAATGCCGTGCTCTTCGCAGAAATATTTAGCTATGAAATTTGGTTTACGTCGAACAAGAATAAGCAGCATTTTAATACGTAAAGACGAATTTTAAAAAATAGTCTGCCGACAATATCAATTCCAATATAAATACTAACATGTGGCACATGTTAAAAAAATGTTTCACAATAATCTACTATATATCATGTAACAAGTATAAGTAATATCTCACAATAATTTAAAATATCATTTAACAAGTATAAGTAATATTTCATAATAATTTACTATATATCATGTCACAAGTATAAGTAATATTTCACGATAATTTACGATATATCATGTAACAAGTATAAGAAATATTTCACAATAATTTACTATATATCATGTAACAAGTATAAGTAATATTTCACAATAATTTACTATATATCATGTAACAAGTATAAGTAATATTTCATAATAATTTACTATATATCATGTAACAAGTATAAGTAATATCACACAATAATTTACTATATATCATATACCAAATATAAGAAATATTTCACAATAATTTACTATATATCATGTAACAAGTATAAGTAATATTTCACGATAAAGACGAATTTTAAAAAATAGTCTGCCGACAATATCAATTCCAATATAAATACTAACATGTGGCACATGTTAAAAAATGTTGATACTTTTGAGTACTCCGACACTCTCTCTAATCCGACAATAAGTTAAAGATGGGTTTCCTTGTTTTTTATTGTCAGTGTTTCTAATTAATTATCATGTATTCTTAATCATATCATTATAATCTTATTGCATATAATTAAGAGTTTTAACCAATCATAAATGTCCATGTTTGTACGGTCTGGATAAACAAAAAAATACTTTTTGACTCATGGGAATTCTGCTGGTAATTTTCTTCTAATTTAGCTAATTATGATTTAATTATGGACATGTGAGACAAACTGGTATTTTTGCAAGTGAACGGAACACCTCTACCTCTACCATATAGGCCAAAGTATTAGCATTTTTATTTTCATGAATGAAAATAAGGGAAACCATCTTTAATATATATTATGTGAAAGGTAAATAAAGTCATACACAATTGAAGCATTACTGTTCAGGGAATTCCATTACTGTGCTACAATACAATAGATACATAAAACTAATTGTCATTGGCATGAGGTGAGCTCGAGTCAATAAGAGGCATGGTATATTTTGTAAGTCTTCAATATTAATTTGCTTCTTATAACGTCAAATTCATACAAGAAAAGGCGAATTCCATTTGAGGAACATAATATGGATATGCTTCCACGTTTATATATTGTCCAGCCCGACATCCACCACAATTACCTCCACAGTGCCCTTCAATAACTTGATCATCATAACTTTTTGTTATATTCACTATAGCACTGTCATTACCATACAGTTCCCAAGTTGTAGTCGGTGCGATTCTTAAACCTGTATCTCTAAAATCAATTCTAAAATAGCCCAATACACCACATTGACTGGAATTATCTCTAACATAACAGTCACCTGCCGAGCCAAACTCTTGACGTGTATGAGTAGTGGTTTGGTAAAACGAACTAAATGTTTTTATCTTTCCATTCGCCAGTAAATAACGAAGTCTGTGAAAGTTAGTCTCGCCTGCACCGATAGTACTTGGGTCTAACTCAACATGTTGACAAGTAGAATTTGATCTGGTTATAGCCCGAAAGGTGGCAAAGTTATTATAAACAAGTGTTATGTATGCTCCATACATGTTTTGGCAAAACAATTTTAACCATGCTGAAATTTTGGAGGAATAGATGATGAATTCTCCTTCTTCCGCCGTAGGATTACACTCTCTTATATCAAAACATTTTTCAAATGGTTTACATATAAAGGTGGTAAAATTCCCCGTGTATTCACAAAAAACATTTTGTGATGGATAATATCCTCTATTACAAACATACAGAACACTTTCGTTAAGATTCCACAGTAGTTTACTGGTAAATGATGTGGTATTAACATTCTCTGAAGATGGTACACCCATACAGCCAAATGGTATACAGCTAAAACCCATAATATCCTCTTCACAGTATGTATTATTAGAACAATTGTGTTGATTACAATTGCCTAGAAAATCGTGTGTCCAAGAACGAACATCAATAAAATTGTAGGTCATATTGGTAACAAAATTACCACCAGCTTCTGATAATAATTCACATTGGTAAGAAACAGATTGGAAATTTACAGCCTGGCACAAAGAATGACGTCGACAATTTCTGTAACAGTCTAAAGGTCCCAGAGATGAAAGCTTACTGAATGGCGATTCTTCTAATTTCTGTCCGACCAAACTACCTTCTAACGTTTGTGTTTGTGAATCAAAACATTGTTGAGCCATACATATCTTGCTCACCAAATAGATTAAGACACACAAATCGCACCAGATCGCCATTTTGTTATCTTCTTTGTTGCCAACTTTATTCTTCTGGAATCCTTCTTGTTAATTTTATGGCTTGTCCCAAATCTAAAGATAGTTTATTGTTCAAATCATAAGTTCTAATTCCGCCGACCACAGACTTTACAGAAGAAAACTTATCACTTTGATAATACCCTTTTCTCGACTTCTCTCCTTTGCAATTTATTCATCGTATTTATTGGAAAATGATAACGTTACACACCCTTTCTTTTCGGCAGAGTTTCTTCGAATGAGGTTTGAAAAATGATAATGTCCGTAAATCACGAATACAGTACTTTTAAAAGTAAATCAATTTAACTTTTTACTTCTTTTGATCTCTGTTAAAGTTACCACTTCGTTCTAGAATCAGTATACAGTACAAGGTATTCGGTCACAACGACAAAGCCTATAATAGTATAGTTATATTATCTTAACAAGTCATCAAAGAAGGAGGAACTTGAAAATCTTTTATTAATAGGGATGAAAATATTGTCCTAAAGTAAGAAGAGTTATACGGACATGTTCGCCATCCGTTTGGCCAGTCGTAATTTAGTTTCAGAAACGTTTTTTTTTAGTCTTTGAAGCTCAAAGCCGAAATTTGAGCCTTCAAGGCCATGTGTGTCCTGAATTTCCCGCGCTAGAAAGTTAAAAAGACGACTCGTCTTTGCCTGAGACTGTAATAGAAAAGAAATAAAATAGAAAGTGTAATTCATAGTGTGGGTTTTTTTTGAAGGAATTCTGCGTTTTAACTACATTTGTAGTACTGAAGACTATTTACATATATTTAAGACCCAAATCAATCCCCGAATATGGCGAATCTATCCCTTTAAAAATATTGATTGATTTAAAGAAAAACAATGTACAAATAAACATAGTTCTGAATTGATTTACCATTATCATTGATGATTTATTGAAATTAACAGAAAATTATTTAGTTTTATCTCCTGATTTGAAACTACATTATTGACTGATAATCTATATTTTTACCACAGACAAACTTATATAACAAAAACACAAGACAATATTATGGAATATAACACACTTCTTTAATAAGGTTGGGCACATAACGTTTCAACACAATATACACGTGTCGTCATCAGATGTAATGGCAAGAGAATGGTAGGTAGGTGGTAGATGACAAGTTAACGTTCGCTTCCAGTAGATGCTGATATCGCAAACTAGGTTGTTGGTACTCGTAGTAGTTGGTAGTTGGATTGGATCAAATTGGATGATTCGGTGTTGTTGGTTTGGTTGTTGATTCTTCGTTAGATCTGGTCGGGTTGAATGACATGGCGGTGAAACTCGGCCCTGGATGGTGTGGCGTGAGTTACTTGGTCTCCTTCATTCTTCCAAACTCGGGGGAAGGGGGGGGAGCTTTCAACAAAAGGGGGAGGGATTTTCTCTGATGTTTCTGCAATGAAACTTGTTGAATTGATTGGATATAATTAAAAAGTGTTAAGAAACTTTGAGTATAAAAACTTAGCCTACCTGTTCAAGACAGATTTGGTTATAAAATGGAAGACTAGTTCCATTATCGTATACCAGTGGTCCTCGGGTGGAGCCAAAACATTCTGTATGGTGAGTGGTATGCCGTTGGTTTCCAGGTACTCTAGCAGTGGCTTACGAGTGGGTTTCAGTTCAGTGCATTGAATGAGGACATGCGACCTTGTGGCAACGTGGCCGCAGCGACATTTAATGGCGTTGAACTGATGGTCTCGTAGTACGTTGTTGGTCCGGAGTCTGGTTGCCACTTTGCAGATGGCTACAGATGGATGGTTTGGTTTGGTTTGGTTTGGTATCTTCGGATCAATCTGGTATCTTGCGGTGTCGAGGTTCCGTAACATGTCGCCCTTTTTTGGTTGATCCTAGAAGATACGATACTGCAGAATTCCGAATAGGAGTATTCTACAGGCTCGATATCCTCCAGACTCAGACTTTCCTTGGCACAACGGTCTGCTTGATCATTGTCAGGAATGGAGACGTGTGATGGAACCCATACTAATTCAATCTTCTGGTCGTTGTAGGTTTGGTAGTTGTGGATCATTCTTCTTATTTCGGAAATAACTTCTGACCAGCAATTAGAAGAGGTGAAAAAAAATAGATTGGAGGCTGCCTAGCGAGTCGGATAGAATTGCGGCATGCTCCTTGTGATTGACGGACAGCCATGCTACCGCGTCCCTGATGGCAAGAAGTTCTGCTGTGAACACTGAACAGTGCGGGGGGATCCTTTTACTGATGCGGATGCCTTTTGCTGGGATGCACAAACCGTAACCTGTTGCAGTACTACTCTTGGAACATCGGTGTAGATCTTCAAATGGTCGGCGTACACGGAATCAATGAGATCAAGAGCCCGAGCTCTTGCTCCCACTGGGTTCTCATGCTTGTTGGTACTCTGGATCAGCTGGGTGTTGACTGTCGGGTTGGTAACCTTCCAAAACGGAGTAGCCGATAGGCGTCGTTCAAGGATCGTTACTTGATCGAGCTGATGCTCTCTCAATAGAACAGTGACCGCTTTCCCGTAAGAAATACTCCGATTCTTCTGGTTATTTCCGACACGAGTAAATCTTCTGATGCTGGAATACGTTGGACAGCTTTCGGACAAATACTGAAGTTTCCCCCAGAATTTGAGAGATAGCTCCTCCCTCCGAAGAGAGAGGGGTTTCTCTCCCACCTCAAGCAGCGCCTCATTCTTCGTATACGGCTGCCCTGGTGGCAATACGTATAGCTTTCATGTGTAGAACGTCGAGTTTCTTCAGTTGAGTATCACTTGCTTTACCATAGGCAATACAACCATAATCAATAACTGAACGAACCAGTGACATCATCATTAGAGTTTCTCTGTTTGCTCCCCATGTGGTACCTGAAACATAACGCATAACATTTAAGATTTTTGTAGACCGGTTACAGATATAGTCAATGTCACTGTGTTCAAAGTGTACTCCCGGGAACCTTACTGAATTCTCATGCTTAATCTTCACACCATTCAGTCTAAGTTCAATACTGTCGTGATCTGTCTTTCTGCTGCAAAACAAACCGGCGGTTTTAGCTTCCGAAATAATGAAGCCCCAGTCGTTTGCCCATTTAGCAACTTGGTTCAGAGCAGTTTGCATACGCCATTTAACTTTATTGAGGTCATTGTGACCAGTCCATATCGAACTGTCATCTGCATATAGAGCCGTGCTAACCGAGAGCTCTATATGCTTTACATAATCCAGGGCCAGATCATTGATCATAATGCTGAAGAGGGTAGGGCTAATAACAGAGCCTTGCGGAGTGCCATTCTCCAACGAGTGCTTCTCGCTGAGAGAATTGGCGACGTTCACTTGTATCTTGGCAAGAGAATAAAACATAACAAAATATATACCAACATGAAACAATATAGAGATTAAGAGAGACAATAGATAAAAGGGGTAATAACAAGTGATTAAGAGAGACAATAGATAAAAAGGGTAATAACAAGTGATTAAGAGAGACAATAGATAAAAGTGTATGAACAATGCGACGTCATGAGGAGGTACCGAGCAAACATAAGCTAATGAAAAAGGCACTGGGAGGAGAATGGGAGAATGAAGGGAAGAAACATGTAGAGAGTGGGGGGAAGGGAGGAGAGATTAGTTTAGCCATATCTTGGAAATGTCCATTGTCGCGGTTGATCTCTGGAAAGCGTCTCTAAATATCTAGAGCTTCTCGAATTCGTCGTTTTTGCTTGTTAGGGAGGTTGGAGGCTATGATAGATTGGTCTTGCCATTGGATTTTGTGGTTAGGAAACTTTATGAGGTGTTCAGATAAGGCCGATTTTCCATCTTCATTTTTGGTGGAGGTTACATGTTCTTTCATTCTGGAAACAAACTCATTTAAAGTAATGCAATGTGTTATAACATTTTCTACAGTGAAAAGATCAGCTTTAGAGTGGCAAAACATAGCTTGCAGACAAGATAACATACACTCAGAAATGTCTTTAGTGGTTTAAAAATGATAATTCTTATATTCTTATTTGTCAAGGCAGTACCTTAAAAACAGTTTATCACCAAATTCAAACACGAACAATGTCTCATCATAATACACATTTATTCAAAATTTCATCAAAATTGGATAAATACGCTACAGATCAAATTCTAAACCCTTTAATAACCAAGGGCAATTCCTTACTGGATCAAACTGAATTTGATTTCAATAGGTTAATTAACAAATGGATCGTTAATCAATTAGTTTGACCTAGTTTTGATGTCTTTTTAATGGCTCAATAATTTTAGTTGGAACCTTCAGAAAAATTAGGCGACATATATTTCTCTAAAATAAAGCGTTTAATTTGCTTAAATCCGCACAGTAGTTTTCTTGCAATTAATAAAAACAATACAAACTTACAAAGTTTATGTCATGTGTAGCCTAGGCCTACGTCATAAGCTTATAGAATAGTTTTGGCGTTTAACGACTGGATTTCTTAAGTTAAAACTTACATATCATTATTCATTTTTCTAGATTTTGGTATATCTTTTGGTCACAAATTTGAGCAAAAAAAAAAAAAAAATCTTTTACGTACAAAAAGCGGAATGCCACCGTTGAGTGAATTTCATATCAATCAGAAAACTAAAAATCGAATTTTTGTAAAAATATTTGTACACATTAATTTTATCTTGTTACAAAGAACATAAAAAAGAAAACCGAGTTTAATTGGTCCATATAATAATAAGCCCTACAGACTCCCAAAAACAGTTTTTTAACAAAGTGTCCCGGTCCGGTTTTTCAAAAGTTTTTATGTTTGATTAATTACACACTAAGTTATAAGTCCTGTGCCTGTGCTTTCGTAACTTTGTCATTAGTACCAAATTACAACCAATACTCCCTAAGATTTATAATTGGTTGAAAACTAAATTCCAGTTCATGTTTAACATGGCATAAGACGTCAGTTGATATTTATTAAAAATGAGTTAATTTTCGGATATAGATTCAAAAAAGAAAAGTAGACGCATTTGTTTGTTGCCCATCCCATTTCGTAAACATATATATACAATTTTTATTCTTTAATAAACAAAATCGACTTAATGCCAGATTCTCATTCGATTACCAATAACGTGAACGGACCCACCGATATGGGTACCGATTTTAAATACAAAATGCAAACAGTTTTTATGCTTGATAGGCTATTTTTAATAGATAGCTTGTGAAGATTTTCGATAACACTATAAATACTCTTTCCTTTCAAATTCCAGATCATGTTTAACATGGCATAAGACGTCAGTTGATATTCATTAAACATGAGTTAATTTTCGGATAGATTCAAAATAGAAAAGGAGACGCATTTGTTTGTTGCCCATCCCATTTCGTAAACATATATATGCAATTTTTATTCTTTAATAAACAAAATCGACTTAATGCTAGATTCTCATTCGATTACAAATAATGTGAACGGACAGACCGAAAAAAGGCGAGGAAAAAGGCGAGAAAGCGAGGAAAATCGTCTCTCGGGTAAAATGGCCGCAGCCGGCTAGAATATACAGTTTTGTTCACCAACGGGTAGGAGACAATTACACGGATTGACTGATAGCAATAATCAATAGTCAATATATACTGAAAGGCAATAGATACTGGACAAAAATTAACTGACTCTGATTCTGCCGTGTTTTTTAGTCAACTGATTTAGATTTAACATTCTACTGGTCCTTTTTTGGTTGCCCAAACGCAGTCTGCAAAAGTGAAATGGGACCCATTGCTGAAACGTTGCGGCAAAATCATGATACACGTGAATATTCGTCCTTTCGATTTATCAGCCATGACAAGATCACCAGGAAATGAGAGACAACAAGCGATCGGAAGACTGCAAGCAGGACAGAGTGCACAGGTCGTTGAAAATGCATTCTATGTCAACGTCAGAACGATATATCGTTTGCAACATCGCTACAACAACACCAACGACCGTCCGCGTAGTGGCAGTCCAAAAGTTACCACACACAGACAAGATCGGTGCATGATACGACAACATCTGCAAAACGACCACTGAAACAGCTCGACAGGCCATTGGCAACCACCAACGTCAGTGATCGTACAGTCCGACGTCGCCTCACTGCCAACAACATCTCCTGCCACCCTCCTGCTCGTGGACCCATCTTGAGAGATCATCACCGACAGGCCTGACTGCAATGGGCTAGGCAGCATCAGAATTGGCGTCAACAGCTATGGAGAAGAATCATCTTCACCGATGAAGTTGTTACTGTGTTTTCACGGTGGATGGCAAAGTCAGGGTCTGGCGAACGTTATGCTGATGCTGGTGTCGTGGGGCGGTCCAAGTATCATGGTTTGGGGGTTGAATTGGACTGAACCAGAGTGGGGGCCTGGTTTCAGAATATTGGTCCAGGCAGGGGTAATAGAGCTCTCCGCTACATTGACCAAGTCCTCAGATCCCACATCTTGGCTTTTTCTGCCTGTCACCGAAACCACAACTAACGCCCGATCCCACACTGCCAGTCATACTTTGGCTTGCTCTCAGTCCGGTTTTGACTCTAATTGAACACTCGTGGAATGAGATCCAACGCCGACTCAATGAAGTGCGACCAATGCCGACAGCTGCAGAAGAATTGCATGTAAAGCCTGCCGCAGACGAGAGGAACCAGCTGAGCTGCCTGCCTCAAGAGGTTGGGAGCTGAGCTGTTTCCCCCGTGTGCGCTGAATTTTTAGTAAGATTTCTGCCTCGAGAGGCTGTGGGGAAAATATCTATCTTGTTATATTTTCTGCCTAAAGAGGCAAGGCATTCACCGTGTGCGGGCTGAGCTAGAAAAAGTAGCTACCAATAGTAAACGGGTTGACGGATCGCGTGGTATTATTATGGTAACCGTGAATGATGCAATTTTTAGAAGATCAACTTGCTGAACGTGGCAAGACTATCCATGTCTATACGCTGTTTTTTTCTGCAGAATTCCAAAACAGGAAAATGAGGCCATTTTGTATGGGGGTCAGTTTGCGCCATTAATCCATTCTCTACCGATTTATCTAATTCACTGATTCAAAAACAAAAGTAAAATATCTTATTACCTATTACTTATAATTCAAACAACATAATGATTGAAATGCTAAAATCAAATGTTTATATTCACATGTAACTTAACTAAAGTCCTTTCAAATAGTTTATTTAGCATCTTCCAAAAATCTTTAATATTAAACCACCGTCCTTTTTGATAAATATCAGAAGTGTATTTTAAACTGTAAAGTGTCATTTCTAAATTGGAAAATGTTTGTAGTAAAATGATAAGGGCAACTTCTTTAGTGTATTATGTCTTCTGTTTTATCTCAAATGAATCATCTTTTATGCAAATTACCAAGGTCGCGACCCTATTGAATTTTCAGCATTGCTACGTCATTCTGTTAAACAATGACTGCTCCCAACAAATGTTGTCGGTCTGAAAAATGATAAAATACTGTATCTTCCCCCCTCCCTTCCAAAGAACATCCCATGACCCTTTATATATTTTCATTTCAAAAGAAATCCTTTCATCGGGGCTTTTCAGAAAAGTTGAAAACTAAACAATGACAAGTATTTTAAGAGTTACCTCCCACTCCCATGATTTAACTCTGGATTAAACTGGCCCGTACGAGAAACTCTAGATGTACGATAAATGAGGTGAGGTGAATAGCTCATTTTTATTTTTTAGCTAATGCTCAGTGCATTCAATCAATACATCGAAATAGGTAAGTATATAATAAGAGTAACACAGAGATCAGAATTTAGCAGATTTATTAAGCGCCGCAATCCGGTAATTGTTTACATTCGTACACTACTCACTAGGCCAAGACCTATGCCATTTGCCATTTGAGGACATTGAGGGCATAGCAAAAATTTTGGAAGATGCTAAATAAACTATTTGAAAGGACTTTAGTTATGTTACATGTGAATATAAACACTTGATTTTAGCATTTCAATCATTATGTTGTTTGAATTATAAGTAATAGGTAATAAGATATTTTACATTTCTTACGGTAGAGAATGGATTAATGGCGCAAATTGACCTCCATAATTTTGATCACTTACGTGACATGGATGCAGTCCGAACGTTCTTCCGATGTTTTCGTTGACGTACGGAATTCGACGAAGATTTTCTAGTGAGACAATAGCTCAAGCGAGAGCTATCGTCTGCGGTGAAAAAAGTAATGAGAATGTTGCTGAGCTGACAGCCTCTCGAGGCAGACAGCTCAGCTAGTTCCTCTCGTCTGCGGCAGACTTAACATTCCTGAGGATATGGGCCCAGATACCAAAATTTACGTAAACATTTTAACGGCGTCTTATTTTTTGGTTGGTGTTGCAAAACTCATATTTTTGAATATTCAGCGAAATAAATGCCAAATTCTCTAGACGTATATCTATATTATATCTATATTATTGTCACACATCAAAAATATATGGTACAATATGGGACAATTCAATTTTCAGTCAGACGTCTGTGGTTCCTGCAATTCTACTAAAATAAGCTGACGTCACTAATCTTCATAATGATAAAGCATATTTTGAGATTTGTGACGTCATCAAACACTAAAATTCTCACCGATACACATAAAATAAAATTTTTCTAGAAAACCTCTTTGCAATCCCTTCATGTAAATTATTCTGGCCCAGATCGTGGTTATATATTATTTCAACAGTATAACACGTCCATTTGTTTGAAAAAGTCGCAAAAAAAAACATAACCAAAAAAAAAAAATCCCTTTCAAATTTTCAACATAATGAGTAAACACATTTGTGTAGAGAATTAAATAAAAATAAGGAAACAAGTATTATGTTCGAACAAAGGCATATTGAATATTAAATTAAAAAAAATAGTCCCATTATTTTATTCTCGAAAACGTATTTCTTATTCTCGATTATTTTAGTGTTCCAGTCATCTGATCAAAAAAATGACAAAAATTAATTAAAGACGGGTCTCCTTATTTTTTACTGTCAAATTAAGCAAACTATTTGATGAATTGGTGTTTGTAATGAATTATCATGTATTCTTAATCATATCATTATGTTCTTATTGCATATAATTAAGAGTTTTAACTAATCGTAAATGTCCATGTATGTACAGTCTGTATGAACAAATATAGACTTTTTGACTTTTCTTGATCGGTCACTCATTGAAATTCTGCTGGTAATTCTCTTCTAATTTAGCTAATTATGAATTAATTATGGACATATGAGACAAACCTGGTATTTTCAAAGTCATTAGAGCACCTCTACTTTCTATTCATATAAGTATTAGCATTTTCATTTTCATAAATGAAAATAAGGGAACCCATCTTTAAATTTTATTATTCAATCAGATTACTGTATTTCTAAAAATCTGGCTTTTATCTTAATTAAGTCTTTGAATAGAAGCTCCTGGTATAGTATCCAAATTTCGAGGGATAGAACACCGCAGTGAAATTTAAATTTAAACCGCACTAAACCATTTTATTTGACATGTAGGTTATACCACTTATTCTGATAAAGAATTACAAGATCAGCCCCAAAATAATCCAACCAGAATCAATCCAATCCATCATTTACAGTGGGTTGGTGAAAGGGATAGAGAAGGAAAATCGTGAGCTGATATTTAAAACTGTACGTTTGAATCTTGACGTCTAGATTAATTGAGTAATCTGAGGTTCCTTCTTCCATACCCCCAACATGACGGTCCATTCAAACTTGCCTGAATCAGATCACGAATTTAGTTAACTGTGGCGTGGCTTAATCCTATAAATACTCTGGAAATCGATCGTTATGATTTTTCTAGAATATTTGTCTGGAATTGTGTATACATTAAAATAATAATTAAAATAGACATTCTTTTTGTCTGGGGTAGTGATTTATATGTCGGCCAACTAAGTTCTTTTCTGTTTATTCTATGTAAGAACACCAATCATAAGCAGAAAAATTGGAGAGAAAACTGCATTCAATTCTTTAATAAAGTTACACAGAAAAGATCAAAATATCACAAATCTAAAGTTGCTTTTGTTTTGAATTTACGAATAGATCTTTCACTTGACTTGACTTTGAATTGGTTGCCATATATTGTATAGAGTATTCCTGCATTTTCTATTGTAAATATACTGTGTAGTTTTGGTATGCCTGAAAATACATCACAACAACAAAAATAAGTTCACCTCAGTCAGAATTTTCGGATTCGTTTGGGGACACATTAAAGGGCCATTCCACCTTTTCGTAAAACAATTTTACTATCAAAAACATCGTAAATTTTTCTAATGGCTCGATATTTTTAGTTTCACCTTAAGAATACGAAGGAGACATATTTCTCTACAATTAGACCTTTATTTTGCTTTAAACCCAAAAAGCATAACGAATTTAAAAAAGTTTAGGTAAACTAAAAAAAATTAACAGCTTTACTCTTATTTCTCACAGTTTCTGTTAACCCAGACAGTTTGGTGAAGTCTTAAACCCTCCTACCTTGGAACAAACCAATCCTGGTACTGATCAACCCCGGTAACCCCGGTACTGATCAACCCCGGTAACCCCGATACTTACGAACCCCGGTAACACCCATACACCGGTAACCTTCCATCGGGGTCCATGAACAGTATAAATAGAACCCCACAAGGTGAGTCTAATCAGTCTGAAGAGTTCAAACACGAACGAAACTAGTCACTGATAATCAGGGATAACTGGTCGCACAGCCAATCTTTATCTCTTATATTAGATTTTTTCTTATATTTTTATTAGTTAAAACTTTCAAATACCTTAAGGGACACATTTCCCTGAATTTTTGTGTATAGTTTTCACAAATTTCAGCATAAAAAAATTTCTACCTATAAAACAAGCGGAATGTCTCTTTAAGTTATGATAATAATGATATGTTCAATAAATCATTGAACCAGAAGATTGTAAAGAATTAAAATGAAATGAATGGAGTTTTACATGAAGATTATAAAGAGAACTAGTTCAATCAATAATCAACTATAGGGTACATACATTTAATCTTATTATTTTTGGTAATTATGTTAAAGGTATTTCTAGTTTCTTGTAGTAGTATACCAGTAGTGTGAATATATGAAGGACATCTAGACTTGATGACAGTTATAATAGCTCCATGTAAATCAGCTTTTAATAATTTCTGAGCATCATTTGTTAATATTCCTTCAGATTTCTCCCTAAATAAAAATATAACAAAGTATTTAATACTAATAGTTTAAAATAGTAACATTGTTGTCTTAAGATATTAAGAGTTACCTCCCTTGAGAGCAGAGTTACAATAGTGTTGTTAAATGCTCTGAATCATTATACAATAGAGTGTTATTGCACTATGCTCTAGATCAATTTACAATAGTGTTGTTAGATGCTCTAGATCATTATACAATAGAGTGTTATTGCACTATGCTCTAGATCAATTTACAATAGTGTTATTGCACTATGTTCTATGATCTATAACATTAGTGTGAACATACATATCAATTTACTAAGAGTTTTATAATAGAAGAAGTAAGACGTACCAATTCACTCAAAGTTAAAATCTGAACATGTTTTTGATATCTGAACAAAATTCAGTACCAAAACTAATGTAGGCCTACTTAACTTACTTGTCTCCAGAATATAGCAAATCAGAAATATAATCTTTCCATAAATTATGTAGTGGAATATACTTCTCATATCTAAAATAAGAGAATGACTATAATATAATGACTTTGAGACCACAATATTGAATTGAACATAATATGTTATACTAAATTTCTTTTTGAAATAACAGTATCGTACTGCAGTGCTAAAAAATTTTTTTCTTCCTAGATAATTTCAAGTCAATCCCAATCAAAGATTTTGAAACTGTAATAAAAATAAAGCTATTTATATCAAGATTTTTGGCCTCAACCTGGAATATCACCTATAAATCATAACATACATCTGATCTTCTTTCTTGATGTCAAATAACTTCATTTTCTTTCTCTCTTTATGTGTCATAGTCTTTCTATGTTTTCTAGGTCCTTTTTCTACTTTCCTCTTCTTAGGAGGATTTTCAATAACTTCAGACACCACAGTCAGATGTTCTAAGGGAACATTTTTCTCTTTCTTTTTATCACTATGTACTGTTTGTTTTAAAAAATTCTTCAGAAAATCAGCTCTTACTGCCTGGAATATAAAATTACATATGAATAGAAGATACTGTGAAATATGAATAGAAGATACTGTGAAATATGAATAGAAGATACTGTGAAATATGAATAGAAGATACTGTGAAATATGAATAGAAGATACTGTGAAATATGAATAGAAGATACTGTGATGTCTTTCATTTTTCATACTGCTGTTATAACCTTTAAGAATGAAAATTTGACTAAAATCTTGATAAATAGAGAAGTAAAAATGGTTAGTTTCTAGGTTATTATCATTCTATGATGTTTTTTCTTAGAATGGAATTCTATTTTATATCTTTTCTTGATTAGATGAGTTGATCCCTTAAATGAAAAAAAATAAGGAAAATAATTTCATTGAAAAAAAGATTTTTTTTTTTTATTTTACCATTATGGTTCAAAGAATATTGTGATGTTTTGATCTCTAAACAGTGGATGATGATGAACAGATGAACATTTCAAAAAGATGTCACTTCTGTTATACGAAGAGAAGAAAATGTACAAACCTTCAATCCTATCTTACTACTATTAGATTGTACTGACTGTGGTAGACTGCTGTATAGTGTATCTAAAATAGAGAACAAATTAACATCTTGCACTAATTCATTTAAAATATTTCTACTGTTAAAATAGTGCTCAATACATCTCAATTGTAGAGCTTGAACAGAACTTGAATCATGTTGTTACTCAGACTTGTTACTGCAATAGCACACAGTGAAACTCTGTAACAACATGATTCAAGTTCTGTTATAATATTTCTTAATAACTTTATTCTGATGATCTTTTTTTGTGATAAGAACCCAATATTTTAGATTTAATTACGCAATCCATTTTCCAGTGCTTGCTGTTTTGTACTTTCACATGAACATCAAAGTCCATTTCAAAACATAAACACAAAAAGCTCGACTTATTTTGTTCATTTTTACTTAATCTATCTAAGAATGCACTGGACTGTTTGTGTCTATGTTTTGCAAAGGAAAAGGTTTTTTTTTTGCTAGACAATACTTTTATAAATGTTATCATTTCTACTTCTTAGAACTAGTTGGGCACGGTAACTAGTTGGGTAACTGAGTTTTCATCTTGCTATACTGGCACATAGACATATATCATAGTTAATAAATTTACCTTTATCAGCTTTAACTTCCATTCTAAAAATCTTTTATAGATGTCAACTCAAATAAGTTTTTTCTTTTTGGGAAGAGTCTAATTCTGTAACATAAACAATAGATCTATTTTTTGTAAAAAGAACATTTATTTTTTAAAGAATAAAGAATTTTATTCAACATTAGACCTAGGTTCTAACTTCCTCTAGTCAGAGAAAGTTTGCTTGTCTAGTGAGATAATTTAAGTCTAGGGTTATTTTTGTGTTACCAGTACAAAATCATACAGGCCTATAACCTGTGCTCATAAGCCTCCACCAGTGCACAGACATCACAATAAAAAGATCATAAATTTACCGACAAATAAAGTCTAGTCAACCAATATAATGCATTGCATAATAGTTTAATAGTTGTCTGTAGGCTGTGTAGTCCAAGATACTGTCATAGAGGGTACTCGACGTATTAAGCATATTCGTTCAAAATTTAGACTTGAACTTTTCTTTATTACCTTATAACTTACCCTGTTTTACAATGTTTTCAATGGCTGTGGTTTATAAAACAATCTATTTCACTTTTTACCCTCAAATTTTTAAGACTTCAATGTTTACATATTAGAGTGCTCTCCCCTTACACATCTTTTTACAACCGACTAATTCAATATACAATAGGTGTCAATAATCTTTTGACTACACCGACAAGTCAGCTTGGTTTAATTTAGTTAAAATAGCCCCTACTTACAGTTTGCTACACGAATACTGATAATAACTAATCCGAAAGCTAACGTCCCTATATGTTGGATTTGGCTCAATCCTTATAAATTTTAAGGATGCAAAGGAGATTTACAGAAAAAAGTTCTTAGGCTATCGTATTTGATTAGTTAAAGGGAAAGAAATCCTCTCGCACAAATGGTTTTTCTAGACTAGAATCAACGCAGGTGTCGAGAGTCTATATAACAGGTTCATTCTGTCTATAGTATTTAAACAGTGTTTGTTTTGTTTTTATGGACAACCAACAATTCGCAAGTGACAAGTCAAGAACTACAAACATGAATTTATCTGCGTTCTCGCATTCACTTTTTAGGCCTAAAATTGTCTGTTATCTTATCTTTGTCAAGACATTCTACCTCCATACTTAAAGCAATTTTTTTAGGCCTAACGTGATGATTAAATTGATTCTGTGTGCTAAAAACTATGTGTTGCTATCTCTAATGATTCATTGCAGCTCCTAATACCACTTTCATTCATTCATTCATTCATTCATTCATTCATTCATTCATTCAGCCATTCATTCATTCATTCATTCTCACTCACTCACTCATTCATTCATTCCCCTAGCACTCTGTAAAAGATTTAGCTGTCTTGAAACTGCCGAGAATTGCTGAATGTTGAATGTGTCTAGCTCTATACTTTAACTAATATGGAACTTGGTCTAACGGAAATATTGTTTAACTATTTATGTGTATATGCCTGAGGGTATTCTATTTCAGTTTCAATCTTTCTTCTCCACAATACCATTTATAGTTATAGTATTAAGTTTTATAAAAATAAATCCCCCCAAATCCCCCATGTATGAATAATACATATCGTGATTCTTTCATTATGATCTGATGAAAAAAAGATAGACATTTTTATTGTATCACTACAATAAGGTACAGCATACAATATACATTACTTTATAAGACGATGTTATTCACTTTCATTCATCTTCACAATGTCAAGTTATTACGAAATGTGTCTTATACTGTAATAGCTACCTTTCTTGTATCACGGAAGTTTATAAATGCAGCGTAGGCCTATGCATTAAATGTGCCTTTATCATTTTACATGAAATACCCTCTTACCCAATGTTTCCTTGAAATGCCACGAACTGACACTGTGCTATTTCAGCTATGTAAATATGTAGTCGACTGTTTAATCAATGAAAATGGTTCTATTTTCAGAATAAACATTCGCTTCCGGCTCGTATGCAATCTAAGAAACGAAGTGCAATAATACTTTAGTGACGGTCCCGTCGATAGATGTGCTTGGTAGCAGATAACAAAAAAAGCAGTTAATTCTGCTTTCAGATATTACATGAGAACAGTGTTAAACTCAAACCAAACACACTCACTCACTTAAATGTTTCAGACATGGTTATAATTATGTTAGTTTTGTCGTATTTAATTGACTGAAGGCTTTTTTACGTGTTTATAAAATATACTGTATCCTCAAGAGAATGAAAATTGTTTTTTAAACTTAATGCTTCCTTGATCATGAATGATGTTCTTTGTGGTGTTTCTCATATAAAATACTTTTAAAATAATTACTTACGGTGTAAATTGTATTGACGTGTCTACAAAGCTTTCTTGGTCTTTTAAGAATTCCTAATTCCAATTTAATTTAGACTTGTCTAAAAACCTGGGAAAATTAATCTAAAGTCACAGCTTATAATGGATTATTTTATTTTTATATTATTTTTGGCCATTGATGCTCTTTTAATTAATGTAATGGGTACGATCCACCGTATAAATACCTTTCTACTTTGAAGACAAGCTATAATATAATACTGCTTTGATACCATTTAGTTGAACTTAGTATGAGTCAAGATGACTGTCTGCAATCAGAAGGCTATCATAATATTTCGCCAAGGTAGTGAATCAAACAAGACTGTCCAGGACATCCGTACACCAGACTAAAGTCAGATTGCTCTTTTGGCTCTAATTCTATGAACTCTGAACAAACCAACTTGTGTCGTAATGTGAAAGAGTAACGTAAATTTACATCTACATGTAACGTAAGTTTTCATAATTTTGAACATTTATAAATGCCGAAGATCAAAAAGGAACTCATTCTCAATTCTAGTAGAAGAACTCATCACCAACTCTACAGAAGAAATAATCACTAACCAGTGGCGGATTTTGGATTTGTTGGGCCGCAGGCAAACGAACGGTCGCATTTTAGGGAGGGGACAGGTGTGATTACAATTTTATGGCAGGAAGTTTGCGATCTTTTTTCAGAAACATATCAATCAGCATCAATCGTATGCACGATTTCGGCATTCATCACCAATAGGCTCAAACAATTTAGTCGATCGTCACACATCACGCTCCTAATAGGACAATTTTCGATGGGCCTGTGGAAATTTATTAACTGTATGATAATTTTTACTGTTACAAACTTTGTCATGGGCCGAATTTTCCATGTTCCGAACGGCAGCTGCTTTGTTTGCCTATAGGTTAACCCGCCTCTATCACTAACTCTACAGAAGAACTCATCACTACCTCTACTGAAGAACACATCACCAACTCTTCAGAAGAACTCTTCAACTCTTTATAGAATGACTCATCACTAACCTACAGGTGATCTGAACATCTACCTTACAGATGAACACATCACCAACTTTACAGATGATCTGAACACCTACCTTTCAGAAGATCTCCTCACTAACTTACAGATGATCTGGACACCTACCTTACAGATGAACACATCACCAACTTTACAGATGATCTGAACACCTACCTTGCAGAAGAACTCATCACTAACTTACAGATGATCTGAACACCTACCTTACAGAAGAACTCGTCACTAACTTACATATGATCTGAACACCTACCTTACAGAAGAACTCATCACTAACTTTACAGATGATCTGCACCTTACAGAATAGCTGATCACTAACTTTACAGATGGTTTGAACATCTGCTTAACAGAATAGCTCATCACTAACTTTACAGATGATCTGAACAACTACCTTACAGAGGAACTCATCACTTTCTTTACAGATGATCTGTACCTTACAGAAAAAACTCATCACCAACTTTACAGATGATCTGAACATCTTCCTAACAGAATAGCTCATCACCAATTTACAGATGATCTGAACAACTACCTTGCAGAAGAACTCATCACTAACTTACAGATGATCTGAACATCTACCTTACAGATGAACTCATCACCAATTTTACAGATGATCTGATCATCTGCCTAACAGAATAGCTCATCGCTAACTTTACAGATGATCTGAACACCTACCTAACGGAAGAACTCATCACTTACTTTATAGATGATCTGCACCTTACAGAAAAACTCACACCAACTTTACAGATGATCTGAACATCTACCTAACAGAATATCTCATCACTTACTTTACAGATGATCTGAACACCTATCTTACAGAAGAACTCATCACCAACTTTACAGATGATCTGAAGTACTGAACATCTGCTAACAGAATAGCTCATCACTGACTCTAAGGAAGAAGACAAAAGAGTCAAAAAATTACATTGGGTAAAACTCATTCAATAGAAAGAAGGTAATAAAAACAAGAAGGACTTCCATCCACCGAAATTGTCGCACGAGCATACAACCTACCCTGTACATCTTATTTTCTACTCGGTTACCCCCTTCCTTGTTTTACATTGTTAGGGCAGTGACATGTTATGAATTGATGAAAAGTCTGAGTAAGGCTAATCCTGTTTTCTAATTTCTAAGAAAGTAATTTGTTTCGTGACTAAACATCAAATTTAATGAGACGACAGGAAATCTCAATCCAGTCTTTGTGAAAAGTTCTATCAATTAACAGTGACAAAGATAAACTATAAATGGATGGGTAGACATTAGAGACATTGTCATGCCAATTTCCACCCATTTGAATGTCATTCACATGAAGCTAATCGGGATAATTAGACAAACACAGCAAGATATTTTGAGGTCTTTCGTGTTAAAGCTTTAAATGAAAAAAACATGTATGTCATACTTATTAATCTTACTTCAGGTCATAGGTATAGGCTTGTGTGGTTCTTAAATTTGTTTCGAACATTTATTTACGGAATCATGACACAGATCATATTCAAATACGAAAACAATAAATTGGTACTGTGGATACTTAATAGATTATGATTCTTTCTGTAGAGTTGGTTGTTCTGAAGAGTTGGTGATTAGGTCTTCTGTGGAGGAATTGGCGAGTTGTTCTTGGATGTTGCGAAGAGTTGGTGATGAGTTCTCCTGTAGAGTTAGTGATGAGATCTTCTGTAGAGGTAGTGATAAGTTCTTCCTGTAGAGTTGGTAATGAGTTGTTCTGAACAGTTGGAGATGAGTTCTTCTGTAGAGATGGTGATGAGTTCTTCTGTAAAGTTAGTGATGAGATCTTCTGTAGAGTTGATGATTAATTCGTCTGTACAGTTATTGATGATTTCTTCTGTAGAGTTGATGATGAGTTATTCTGAAGAGTTGATGATGAGTTCTTGTATAGTGGTAGTGATCAGTTCTTCTGTAGAGTTAGAGATGAGTTATTTTGAAGAGTTGATGATGAGTTCTTGTATAGTGGTAGTGATCAGTTCTTCTGTAGAGTTAGAGATGAGTTATTCTGTAGAGTTGGTGATGAGTTCTTCTGTAGAGTTATAGATGAGTTATTTTGAAGAGTTGGCGTTGAGTTCTTCTGTGGAGTTGGTGATGAGATCTTCTGTCAAGTTGGTGGTGTGTTCTTCGGCAGAGTTAATAATAATTTCTTCTTCTGTATGGTTGGGGATGAGATCTTCTTTGTTTGATGAATTTGTGATGAGTCCGTATTTTAATGAGCTCTTCTTCTGAAGAGTTGATGATGAGCTCTTCTTCTGTGGAGTTGGTGATGATGTCCTCACTAG